TCATACTTCACTATAATATCTCTTCATTTTATTATTCGGAATAAATGTAAAAAAAAAAAAATTAAAACGTACTTCATAAAAGATAAATGATCGTTATGAGTTTCCTATGGAAATTGATTTACAAAGATATTTATCACCAGACGCAGATAAATCACAACCTTATAAATATTTACTTCACGGGTTTGTATCAACATGATTCCGCATGTATTATTAAATACGATTTTTCTTAATAAATTAATGTACATGTCTTTTTATTATACAAGAGTTCTTGTTCACAGCGGCGATTTACATGGCGGCCATTATTTTGCTTTATTAAAACCCGACAGAAATGGAAAATGGTTTGCCAATTTTAATTTTTTTTTTAAAAACAATACAATTATTGAATAATATAGCCAGTAGACAATTAAAATTAATCATTATAACAGGTTAAAATTTGATGATGATAGAATTACACCAGTAACAGATAAAGAGGTACTTGAAGATAATTACGGGGGTGAAGTTTCTAATGCAAGTCTCTCACCTGCAATTCGAACCGGTGGTAGAAATATTAAACGATTTACGAATGCATATATGTTGGTTTACATCCGTGAATCTGACATCGACTGGGTACTATCTCCAGTAGTTACTAAAGATATACCAGAACATTTACGTAAGTGTTCTCGTTTATGAAGCGTAGTTTGAGATTACAGTGTGAATTTATCTTTCACATACATATTTAATAGAAAGACGCTTAGATGAAGAGAGAGCTTTACATGAACAGAAAAAAAAGGAAGCTGAGGAACGCCATTTATACTTGAATACAAAGGTAATTACGCGGCAACATTATATGAGGATTAATAATAGATTTGGATTATTCGGTTCAGTTTAAACTTTTACTTTCAACTCACTATTAGATCGTGACTTTAAATACCTTTGCGCGCCATCAAGGGTTTGATCTCGCTAATTTTGACGATCGACAATATCCGCTATCCGAGATTCCACAATTTAAGGTTTTGAAAAGTGATACATATGGGGTTTTCAAAGCACGAGTCGCTCATTATTATGGGATTTCAGCTGAGCAAATGAGGTTCTGGGTCCTTGTAAATCGCCAAAATAAGACTGTTAGGCCAGATACTCCAATACCAGACCATTTTCATGGCATGAGTAAGTCAAAAATTTAGCTATTTCCTCTTCATTCATAATAACCTTTTTATCGATTTTTGTGATAAATAGCAATGGAAGAAATTCACACGAAAATGGCTTCAAGACAAAATGAACTGAAGTTATTTTTGGAAATGGCAGATAAACCAATTAACGGCAAAGTAGTACTCAGTATTTAATAGTATATTGTATATATTATTAGACATTTATTTTCAATTGTTTATTTAATATGTAGACATGGTTCCCAACAACGGAAGGAAACTCTCATATAATGGTTTTCGTCAAATACTTTAACCCCGATACACAATCTCTAGAGTATGTGATTTAAATTTTTTATTTATTTTTTTTTATTCGTTTGATACTAAAATTAATCTATACGCTTATGTAAACAGAGGACTGTGTCATTTATATATTCAAAAGTTTGGTAAAGTTGGTGATATTATTCCGATTCTTTGCGAGAAAAAGGAACTTCCACCACACACACCATTGAGAATATACGAGGTAAGGTGTATTTTGCGTATATATGTGTCTTTGTTCTGTAAATAGTAATGGTCTATTTATTTAATCAAATATAGGAGATAAAACCAAACATGATTGAAGAGATGAAACCAAAATCGACTTTTCAACAATCTGAGATACAAGATGGTGATATAATTTGCTTCCAAAAGGCTTTAACAGATAAAGAGTAAGTTACTTATTAACCGATCTTGTTTTTCTTTTTAATTAATTTTTTTTTATAAGCCGATTTTTTTCCGCGATTTAGAGCACAAGAACATACTGCTGCAGGTCGCATTCGTGATATTCCTACATTCTATGAGTCATTATCTATGCGTATTGTCGTTCAATTTAAACCAAAACATAAAGACCGGGAACAAAAGCCAGAATTTGAGTTGGTTTTAAATAAGAAGTACACATATGATGAAGTACGTTTTAATTTTTTTTTTTTTACATTTATTCCGAATAATAAAATGAAGAGATATTATAGTGAAGTATGA